AACGACACACAAGTGGATAGCAAGTGTTGATAAGAATTTTAATTGGATAAAGTAGAGCCAGCCAATGAATTCAGTTTAATAGGATGAGGTAAGACATATAAGAGCTATGATCAATAACAGAAAATCGATATTTACATGAACATGTACATGTGCTATCAGTACTATTCTGTCATATAAGCTGTACTAATAACTCAAAAAATGCATATGAATAACCAGCACTTAACACGCGGTAATGTACAGAACAAGAAAGATATTAGTGCATGTACTTTCACGCTAAAGACGCTGTAATGCAAATATTATGCACATTCTGACCTAAACGTAACGTTAAAGTAGTCATAAACATACACTACAGTCTAGACATGTTTGACGCTCAAAGATTTGTTTATTTACATGGAACCTCTCACCATAGAATGGTTTTAGTTAACCTCATTTTTTAAATTAATTTTTAATTTTTTTTAGCGATTTGAGGAATATGTTCAGAAACTCAAGGTTGTTATGACGTCATGAATGCTGGGGAAATGAATGGCAAGTGATGGAGTTGTAAATAAAGATATGTTTTTCAGTCAAATTGAATATTCCTTAATACTTTCATTATGAATTCCTTGAAATATGTTGGTGAACCGAATCAATACACACACTAAGATTTCACGACGTTTCTACGTGGGAGCATCCTCGATAGATTCAGCATGTAATTCGGCTGTTGGTGTATTACTACAAAGTGCATCCGCAGTGATCAGGTCATAGTTGTTGTGCAAAACCATTGTTATTTTCTCTAATGCTTTTGGTTTTACCAAATGTACATCATTACCTATAGTATCTAATACGTTAAGCGGCGAATTATTCTGACATTAGAAGGGAGCAAGTAAGAATTACATTGTCTCTATAATTTACCTCGAAAATAAAACGACGATTCTCATCAAACTGGTGGGTGTGACCTTTTCGAAGCTAGTTTTGGTATAAGCATTTAAATAATATGGAGTTTTCTAAATGTAATTATAGCTTATATAATTGCAAGTAAGCTTTTGGCAAATCCAATAAACACAACCAGACGGACATGCGGCAATTATACTGACTATAAATACATTATAAAGCAATACATTGATATATTAACATTACTAACAGAAGTTTTGGGCAATATTTATTAGGTATCTGTTCAATATGAGCAAAAGACTTAATCTAATACGATGGAGTATACCCACTTATTGGAACAGCCGAAATATGGAATGGCTAGTGAAATCATTGTGACGTCACAATACAGCGAGATTGCAGTCTCATCATTGCATTTATCGTCTCGTGCTCGTGCAAATGTGAATCTGTGATTACATGTAAATAAATGCAACGTCGTGGATGATATGGACAACGCGGTAATGTAGTGTTTGGACTTTTAATCACTGTCAAAAAAGATTTAAGAGGACAATATCATTTACTATATTACGCCAATCGACTGATCGACAATATCTTCTTACCATTCAGACACTATTGAGTAAGCATTCCTTGATTTTATTCTAGTCATTGCTTATCGGCGTTTCTGCAACAAGCAAATATCAAAATATTATTACGTGGACGTTATTAAGAGGCGATCATTTCCAGAATGTAAAGTTAGTTTCTCTTCCGAAACCTATCACCGAATGGAATCAGAATAACTTTAAGTGCTTCATTCTTCCAAACTTATGCGAAAGCGAGGACATATTTTCTTAGCAAGTTAAATATAACTGGTTTATGAGCATCTAAGATTCCAGAAGGGAAACGAAACTTTTCTAAATTTTGATCTTAACGACAAATTCATTTTTGATAACATTTTAGCAGAAACAGAAAACAGAAAACGGTTGACTTTTGTCTAGAATACCCCGCTTAAAACGTGACAAGGTAGTAACGATCCGTGGTGATCTGTATGGGGGTTTTATGGGGAAGAACTTTCTTGTTTCCTGATTCACGTCCCCGCAACAGCTAATACCGAGTCTGGACAGTGTCGTCCTTCTAGGACTCGTCAGTGATACCACATCAAACAGCTGTTTCGTCCTTCTAGGACTCGTCAGTGATGCTACATCATACAGCTGTTTCGTCCTTCTAGGACTCGTCAGTGATGCTACATCATACAGTTGTTTCGTCCTTCTAGGACTCGTCAGGGATGCTGCATCATACAGCTGTTTCGTCCTTCTAAGACTCGTCAGTGATGCTACATCATACAGTTGTTTCGTCCTTCTAGGACTCGTCAGTGATGCTACATCATACAGTTGTTTCGTCCTTCTAGGACTCGTCAGTGATGCTACATCATACAGCTGTTTCGTCCTTCTAGGACTTGAGTGATGTTACATCATACAGATTTTTCGTCTTTCTATGACTCGTCAGGGATGCTACATCATACAGCTGTATGACGATGTTTCGTCCTTCTAGGTCTCGTCAGTGATGTTACATCATACAGCTGTATCGTCCTTCTAGGACTCGTCATGATGCTACATCATACAGCTGTTTCGTCCTTCTAGGACTCGTCAGTGATGCTACATCATACAGTTGTTTCGTCCTTCTAGGACTCGTCAGTGATGCTACTTCATACAGTTGTTTCGTCCTTCTAGGACTCGTCAGGGATGCTGCATCATACAGCTGTTTCGTCCTTCTAGGACTCGTCAGGGATGCTACATCATACAGTTGTTTCGTTCTTTAAAGACTCGTCAGTGATGCTACATCATACAGTTGTTTCGTTCTTCTAGGACTCGTCGGTGATACTACATCATACAGTTGTTTCGTTCTTCTAGGACTCGTCAGTGATGCTACATCATACAGCTGTTTCGTCCTTCTAGAACTCGTCAGTGACGCTCGATGTCTTTGAAATAAGGAGTCGACCGATGAAAATGAAAATTTGCCGATGACAGTACTGAGAGAGGATTATTTCATAAACACATAGACAATGAAATTGTAGAATTTCGACGTGTGTGTAACTAATTTATTTCCGACGCTGTTTGTCCCCGCGTATAGCCATTCTCAATTGAAGATGATAGGATTTCCATATTCAATAACTGCACCTTGGACATGACAACGAGGTATTTTACACACTATAAATATCGGTATTGGTCAGAACATTGTCTTGAAATTAAAACTGCTGGCGTTGTCGTCAGTGGCGTTGTAGAACACTATCGAGAATGTCGTCTGCTCTCTGATATCATCAATCGTGATCCAGAGACTGAATGATATGGCGGTCCCAAAAATGTCCGGGGAATTCCAAATGGAAAATTAACATGCAATGAACATTATCTCTATAGAGAAAACTGCAAATATTTGGCTATTCCGAAGGTCCAGAAAACCCTCTGAACCTGCAACGGATCATTGGGATGTTTGATTGAATCCACCTACACCACAAGTACTTAATCCTTTGATCACAGGGAGATTCCGTGGGGAATAATTTATACGGACTGTAGGCAAACGCCATCAAACGCAACACTGATGTCGATGGAGGGATAATCTAACGTTAGAGACGGCTTGATGTCACTTACGATATTAGTTCCTCAGGTGAAATTAGTTCAACTGGAGCGTAATCACACATCACAACATATCTTATTGTATTTATTGGATTTTTTTTTAACAAATTAATGATTGTTCAAAAGATAAAGAAATAAATATTAGTTTTTAAACAAGTTTAGTAAAATAAATATACTATATGACAAATAATAAATTTAGCTGTACAATAAAACTGTTTGCGTCATCTAAGACTCATCATTCGTACTACCGTTCTAAAGTAGAAAATCAATAATGGCGGACGTCTTATTATTTGATTAAATATTACACACACCATCACCACACACACACACACACACACCAACACACACACACACACACACACACACACACACACACACACACACACACACACACACAAACACACACACACACACACACACACACACCACCTCCACCACCACTCTCATACACAGATTTTGATTACAAAATTCTATTTATTTTACACGCACGCATGCATTCGTTTTATTCTGAAACGTGTCATCATTCATAAAAAAAATCATTGACGGTTACAAATACATTGTTACAGCTGAAAAATAATGACAATTTGATTTTTTTTCAGATTTCATGTTTCATTCATCTATAAATTACGTGCAGATAATTTGAATATAACAATTTATGTCAAACTTTTAAAAATGGGTGGGGAGGGGGGGGGGGGGTAATTGCTTCGTTCATATCAAAACCGATGAAAATAAAAATAAGGAAATGCAATTTGTCTTGACGTTTTCGAATACTGGAAAACGGGATTTTTTGTGGGTTGTATTTCACGTGTGCTTGATTCAGCAGTTTCAGTAGTATACAGGAAACCCACAAAGAATAAAATTCGTGTCAGTTTTTAACTGAATATCCTTTCTAGGACATACGAATTCGTGTTTTAAAGTGTGTCCACGAAGTCAGCGAAAATTAAGACTCACGGGAATCTGTTTTCGCAGTATGCCGTACATGCATCATTGACTATCAGGTACCATGTCATTCATTTGATAAGGTTGACTGAACATCGCCGACCTAAGTCACGGTAAGTACTACGCGAAAACGTTCCGTTATCACGCCCACTATGCATCCATAGTTAAGAACACGTGTTTTCCAATCTTGTTTCAAAAGCTACAGCCTTCCTGTTATCATGCCATCGCCGATTCTCCATGTGTTGATCCGGTTGCCGCTCTTGAGCCTACTCATATGTACCCTGCGGTGCTCGTCCATGGTCTACGTCGGCGTTTAGTGATGGGCAATACACGAGGATTTATGGTCCCGTAAAATTGATGAGAAAGCCCGTTAAGTGCTAACAGATAATATATATGTAATAACATTGCACGCAACATTGTTATTTGAAGCTTGAACAGCGATCTAGTGAGGCAGTGCATCAAGGGAGGAGTGTAAAAATGGTGTTTAATACTTAGAAATAGTACTCGGTTTAGTGGTACTGAACAGTTGACTCTACATTTTTCTTCACTCAAGACCAAAAGTGAAAATTGCGACAGGTAACGACAAAGATGTCACAATATCAATATCCCTTTAATTATTCTCCAATCGCCGAACCCTATGTGTCCGAACATCTGGATTGTTATAACATATCGGAGGAGGACAGAGTTAGATACTTCAGTTTGACGACCAGAATTATTTTTGGAGCTTGGATGGTGCTGATATCAATAGGAGCTGTGACAGGGAATTTACTTGTCATCGTCGTTATATTGGTGAATCGTTACAAATTAGGAATAAAAAAAGGAACTGGAACAAATTACTTTCTTATGAGTCTCTCTATTGCCGATATGATGGTAGGACTGTTCGTGGTTCCTCAGGCTTTACATACCTTTTTACGTGAGTGTTGGGGCTTCGGTTCTCTCATGTGTTTACTTACGACATCATGTATATCTGTCATCGTTTCAACATCTATCCATACATTGATGTATTTGGCGATATTTAAATATATAAATATCAAACGATGTGCAAAAACTATAAACTACAAACCTATTTCTCGTTGTGTACGGAATCTTATGATAATACTGCCATATATATGGGGCTTGATTCTTGCAGTGTTGGCAACAAAGTTTCTGTCGAGCGCTAAACTCAAACCGAAAACGATCCAGTGTGGTCCCGAATACCCTAATACTGGGGACAGGCGACTTTACATACTACACGTGGCGAATCAATTTCTGAATATTGTTCTACCAACAATAATTATAATTTTCACCTACCTTAAAATCTATGGTATTATCAAACGAGACGCATGGTTGAGGGACAATTCATTGCGTGCACCAGAATCAGAAATACTTAAAACATTCTTTATCGTGCTTGTGTGTTTCCTGCTGTGCTGGGCTCCATATTTCGTCTATACGAATTACGTCAAAATAATTCCTAACAAACACGACATTCCGGTCCATTTCAACCTCGTGGTAAGTATTAAAATCAAATACTTTGTTTACGTCACAACTCCTGATCTTGTTTGTTACAAACAACGTTTCTCATTTTATAATTCTAGACGGATGTACACTTGTAACAGCTGTGTGGTGCTGTTTATTTCATTGTTTTCATTCAATTGTATTCTATGTCTGTATTGATTGAAATTTAATATTCACTTGTGTGTCTCTTTAATTATCTTTGAAATAGTGGAATAGCATACATGATCATTCAGCTGAGTTATTTGTCAGGAAAACACTCCAATACCGATTAAAATCAAAGTAAGCAACCGCCTACATGTCGCTGATACTAGAAAAAAAAACATTTTCTTTACAAATTTATTGTTTCATTACTTTCATCAGATAAATGAGACTTAAAATGATTTACGGTGAAGACAAAATGTTAAATATAATAGATATCTCAGAGGGAAACTAATTTGAAAAATTATTTTTATGGTCCATTGTAAATATTTATTAGACCCTTGACCACCCGTTTAATGACAATGACCTTTTATTTAATAGTAATTATAAACACACAAATCAAACAGTAAATATGAATATTTGGTCGCATCGAGTGACTTAGATCGCAAACTATGGATCTTGATGATTTTGTGTTTCTAGGTAACGGAAAATAATCTGTAAAATATTACCATCACAAATGTTTGGATTTCACAAACGTTGAGCTTTAATATCACTGATAATAAAGCGGGGTGTGTGTGTGTGGGCGGGGGGGGGACATTTTAAGATCTATTTTCGTAGAAGTACTGTAAACATGGTTGCGAGGTTGTTGTTGTTGTTGTTGTTGTATGTAGACTAAACACACAGGCCAATTAGAAACGAAATTCGAGAAATAGGTATTGTTTGTGTTACCTCTGGCCAGTGAGCTTGTTCTACTGTGTTAGACTTCAATCAGACATCAAAAACAAGTGTTTGGAAATATCAATTCTTTTATCCGCTTGCCTCCATTTCTCTCGATTAGAAAGGTTCAAATGCTTTATCATAGTTTTCCTTTGTTAGCTATCAGAATTTTTATACTTTTCACGGAGTATATGAATGTTAAACAGTCAGATGGAAGTGACTTATGGTATACTATTTATATGTAATGTTTTTCGTTGTCAGAAGGCATACCGACGTAATACAGGCAGTGTTCTGTGTTACATTTTAAATGTGAAAGCTTTCGGTATTTCTGCTAAGAAAGATTCATTAAGTATTTATGAATATTTTACCTGAAAATAGATGCTGTGATATTTAATAGCGCAAAACCAAATATTTTGACCTAGTTGGAGTCGAGGTCGCTAGTTTTGATTCCAGCAATTATTATTGGATTTTGTGAAAACAATGGGGGGCAACTGCCTCCCCCCCAATCGTCCCAGAGGTGACTTTTGTGAAACGTGTAAATCCCATTTTTCAGTTTTCTGCATCTGTAATTTTCATATCTATATTTCAGTGATTTTATCGATTCTACTTGCATTCTGTCGAAACTAACACCACACAAACTACACTCAGCTCAGGTAACAGAATCAGATTCTAAATATAGTACAAAGGTTGTTAATGTTTCATATTTCTGACGTCATCTTAGTTCTAGTCCAATATTTACTAGTGCATATATCTAATTCCTTGTTTGAAAACGATATTTATTTTTTTTCTCCAGGATAAACAATAACGGAGACGATATTTCCACTTGATTAATAATGGCCGAATCAAATTGATTGATGCCTACACATCTGAGGGGATGTTTTCTTTATTAGATTATCAGTTAATGTTCAATATTTACAATTGCACGACAACACCGCTAAATCAACTAACCCTTTGGGAGTGTGATTTATTATACCATAAATGACATCAATTGCGTGACCATTATGGTGTCATGGTTTGGATTAAAATGGCAACAGCTCAACGACAAAAAACAGTTCCACTCAAGTGATTACATTGCAAGTTACGATTAACTCCTTTTAGTTAAACTCATGTAATTTTCTGTATATTAGAAAAACAATAATTGAAAGGAACTCAGGCATTAAGTATCGTACTCACTAAAATAAAATTCACAGTATATTATTAATATATGTAAAGCTAATGCGTTTTGTTCAGATTTCTGTAGTGGTTCCAATTTCCCTTTTGTGAATTTCCCGTTTCTAGAGAACAACATTCCTTATTACCCAACATATGGTGCTGACTTGTTGCAGTTCGAAATACAGCAGAAATCAGGTGTTCGGTTGTCCTTATGATTATTGAAGAAAGTTATTGCAAAGTCCGATTCAAACCATTGGTATCTATGCTCTTCAACACGTTAAACACCGTTTTTAGTTCCACATGATTACTTGAAAAGAATATTTCATATTCAAAGACTTGTTCCTATTTTCACGATTATCGTGCAAGATTTTGACGGCTGTGGATAAACATACAACACAGAGATTCGAGCTATGCAGGTTAAAGATGATGCGGAAGCTTTGCGGTCGTTATAATAACAGCATTGGGAAATAAGCTGATTCCTTGTGCGATATTAAGTCGGATATGTTTGATGCACGAATTTTGCCCGATGATTTCAATATTTACATTGGACGTGGTATTGCTCAGTTGGATTGCATGGAGAGTGTTGTCGATGAAGCAAAAGATAGCCTTTCGGAACACCTGGTCTATCCTTCTGGATATTTCCGTTATGTAAATATCTCCTTCCGTTCTTTTCCTTCGTTCTCTCGGTTTCGATTTTTAAGTATGATTTTGCTAAGATGTCGGTAAAGTTGGTTTTATTGATTTTGAGTTTGGATCACAAATGGACGTGCTGGATGCCCATTGGTGTACCTTTTGATTCCGATTTCTTTAAACCTTGATCTCATTTGGGAAAATTTGGCAGGTGTGGTCTGCTTCATTGTTGTTTTTGTTTCAAATCGAGTTTTCTTGTTGTCTTTGGCGTTCCAGTATTTGTCCTCTAAATTTTTCTTTTTTCTTTAACGCTTCTTGTCTTTTTGATGAATGTCCATTTAAGTACCATCTCCACCCTTTGCTTTGTCCTTGATGTCCTGACGTTTCCCTTTAGCATTTAAGTTCAGTTCTGGTTTGGCTTTAGTTTGAACAAGGCGTTATAGCTATTTCCGTTTTAAATTACCAATTATGATTTCTTATATGTCTTTGTAAAGTTCCGTTTGCCGTTGGTAAAATGACCTACATTTGCAACACGCACCTTGATAATGTGATAAAAAGAAACCTTTCTAAATAAATAGTTTAATGACATCAGAGACGCCACAGTAACTAGTGTTGCTTTACCAATTAGTGTGTTGCTATATTGAGAAGATAAAAGTCAAAAGCTCACTGTTTCATTCGTCTGTGAGATATAATTGTATCTACTACCATTCCCTCAGTGAATTGGAGTGAAAAGTGAGTTGATGTTTATCTCTTAATTAACAAAGCAATTAAGCCATCAAGGTTTTGTACTTTTGGCTCATGAAAGTTGATAGTAGGTACAATGTTCCTGACGGTAAGTAACGTTTTGAACTGCTTTATGTAATATTGCAGTTCTTTGTAAATTCAATTATTCAAATTCATACATTAGTGCTGTATGTCTTGCACGACAAGAGATTTATCTTAACGCAAAGATACAAATATCAGTACATATGGTCCAAGCAGTTTTAGAGTGATGATTGGGAACAAAAAGGATTTTTCACAAAAGTGGATATTAACTGTAGGCAAAGAGCAATCAGTGTAGCATTATATCAGATGATCGAATGCAGGGTGACGTTGGAGATATACCAGTCAAATGACAAATTACAGATCTGACAAAATATGTTTGTCTTTCGCAATGACCAGACTAGAAACAAATGCAGAAATTAACTTTATTGTGCTTCGAAATGATATCAAAGCCATTAAGGATAAAATTGATAAGATCCGTGGGCAGAGTTCATCAGGATGAGATCTTCCTTTTCTGGATCATACAAACGGACAAACATTTGAACACAGGGACTATTATAAAATGTGCCTGAAAATATCAATGCACTAAGTCTAATATGATAAACAACAGGCGAGGCATTTATTATTGATGTTACATAAGATATATGGAGTCTATCTGATTTGTTCGTTGGAGGGAAAACAATGTTTTTTTGTGATGAAGTTTCTCATAGCCAGATTTTATCACCCAATCCATCTGCCAATTCTTGTTTTTCTACGTCAGTTTGCCTCTTGAACAAAATAAGAATCTTACGTTTCTCATTGCTATTTCTGTTATTTTCGTCAAGAGGAATACGTGATTATAATATGTTGTTTTATTAATGCACTTGGGGTTCTTTTCTTTTTTAACATTAACGTTTGTAATTTCAGCTCTTTCTCTTAATGTCTGTCTTTGTCCTAAAATGATCCTGGCTATCCGAGGACTCAAATTTCGTCAAACCCCAAAGCACTTAAAATGAACGCAATAAGACCAACAAGACGCAAATTTAAGTATTAAAAGATAATTACCAAAAATGAACGTGGTTTCATTGTTGATGACTATTAGAGTTTACTCTAATTCCAATTGTTATTATCACACGCAAAAAACAAGTTCTGAATAGTTTTTAAAAATGACGCTAGCAAACGAAACTAACATATGCATCCATAACAGTAACGTCAATACAACAGTTATATTTTAAAAAGTTAGTGTTATCTAATAAAAACGTGTAAGAAACACGTGTATTTTTCATGACGTGTTTCCAACAATTCTTCTTTGATCCCTATTTTCAACAAACGATATTCTTTAACGTTTGATACACTCGAATCGGAAAGCATGCGGATATATTGTAACGTTAACGAACTGTTTTAGTCTTTAACTAAGTTTTGATATCAATGCATTTAATACCATTTATTTAAATCTAATGATACAATGGTTTTAGCAAAGATTTCGCTTGTATCATGACACCGACACCATTATGAACAGTGGAAGCAAATATCAACATATTATGATATATAAATATAAATATATTTATATATATAATACCCTGAATAAAAAAAAATCAATTTGGTGTTTACAGCTG